TCCCAAGAAGCTGAATACCGTAAATAAAAAAATTAAATTAAATTAAAAAAGAGCGTTACTCGTTCTAACAGATGCTTCTTTGCTGGTGGCTCTTTTTCGTTTTTTTTCCAGAGAGGCTTGTGACGTTATCTGTGCACTTCAAAAGAAAAACCACAGCAGCCAAGGCAAAACCACATTTTCGTGTTATATTTAGAATCACTTTTGTTGTCTTTTGGTGCACGCTGTAATTTCCATGTGAATGTTCGCAAACGCACACACAGAGGGATGTGTGCATGCTTCTCCATCCTGCTGCCCGGAGCTTTGATGTGCATTAGTGAAGAGAAGATCTGGTATTTATAACCACTCAGCCATCCGTTTGACCTTGGATGCAGGAACGATACTAATATCTGCTTCCGTTCTTAGATGGGGTTCATTGATCATCCCTCCATTATACGTGTAGATTCGGCCGCGTGGAGTCGATCGCGGCTCAATAAGCAGCCTACACTTTGGATGGTGCTGCTCAGGTTTGTCAGTCGGCGTTCACAGCCCAGTGATGTTCGATAATCTTCCCGTAAACGCTTTGCAAACAGCTCCTGTTACACGAAGCCTGGTGGGTCTCTGCTGAGTTTTTATTTTTTATGTTTTTAAACTATTAGAAGCTACTGAACATTTCCAATCAGTGCTTTTAATTCTCTGTGCATTTGTTGAGTTCATATTTAAGGCTTGTTGTACTTCAATACTTTAATTTAATGTCCAATAACGTGACATTAAAATGATGCATTTTTTGGCACTTGACATTGGAGTTGGTGTCCACAAACATCTCTGCAATGTCTTAATATACGGCTCTAATCCATCAGTAACATGATGACACGTTTGTGAAACGGCTCACAGATTCTCAGTGTGTTTGTTTGTTTTTAAATGACTTCGGCTTCTTATCGTTTATTTTATAATGCAGCGATTCAGCTTTTTCCCATGACCACCTTCAAGTCTGAGGCCATTGTTCTCAGCTAGGAAAGGGTGGAGTGGCTACTCCGGGTCAGGGATGCTTTGCTGCACCACATGGAGGAGTTTAAGTATCTTTTTCATGAGTTAGGGAGGAAGAGAAGATGGCTATACCAGTCTGCTTGTCCAGAGAGGTGTGTGTGAAAGTAAAGCTGTTGATTTAAAGGTCAGTCTACCTCTCTAACCTCACCTATGGCCTCGAACTCCGAGCGATGACCAAAAAAATTGCTGATACAAACGGTGAATTTTAGCTTTCCCTGAAGGTCGGTGGGCTTCATCCTTAGAGATGAGGTGAGGAGTTAAGTCATTTGTTAGGGACTCAGAGTAGGGCCACTACTCCTTCTTATAGAAACCAGCAATCTGAGGTGGTTCAAGCATCTCCTGGGCACCTCCTGGGTGAGGTATTGCAGGCGTGTCCTACTGGGCGGAGGGCGGAGGATACAGGAACTGGAGGAAGTTACTGGGCTTCTCTGCTTATGGGCTGGATGGATGGTATTTATAGGTTCATGTTAATCACTTTAAATTCTTCAGACTAGTCTCCTTTAAGCTCAGTGTAGGTCATTATTGCATGCTGCTGCTGTTTACCGGCTCAGTCTGAGTGCACCTCCTTTTGCTGCTCCTCACACACACTGTGTGTGTGACGTGAAGCTGGCAAGAGACGAGCGAAGTGCAATAATAAAAATAACTGAGTTGACAACATAACGACGTGTTAGTGTAAGTGTAGTAAAAGCTTCCCGACAAGTGTCAAACCAAATATAATGAAAGAAGAAGTGAGAGAGAGAGACAAACGGTCGTTCTTGTATCTTTTCAGCCACTCACTCGACCTCAGTTTGTGGTTAAGTGAAAAACTTTTATACAAATAGAAGTTGTTGATATAGCAGCTTAAATTTCTCTAAACTGCTGACCTTTGCTGTTTCCTTCATGTTGCATGAGTTTCTCTGCTGCAAATCAGAGCACTGTTTGTCACTGATGACCAATCCAGCTTTACAGCAACCAACTGGAGCTTTATAGCATTTTCTTCCAAAATAAAAGTCCCCCATTTTTCTCTTGTTAATATTGTAGTGACAAACACACATTTGATAGAATATTGAAAGGGATACCCTCCCTTTAAGTTTAAAAACTAAAAAGTTACACCCCATCCACGTCCTTTTTTTTGTTTACTCGTCACAAACAAGGAAATACTTCATCTCAGTCACTGGTGGGAACAGCAAACCCAGTTTCATGCTGCAGGTGTCTAAAGTTAAATTATTTTCACTTTAATAAAGAAGTTTGGTAATAATTTTTCTCTTTCCGTCACTTTTTGCTGCACTCGGCATGAGTCTGGCAACAGGAGGGCGCAGTGCTGCGAAGCTGGAGGCGTGCAGCAGTCGCCTGGAGCTCTTCTTCTAACAGCTCACCGTGGCTCCTTCTCTGACTGTTACTAATGCAAAAATCTCAGACTGATTCACTGATGGCTGTAAGCTCACTGCTGACGAGCACCTTGCATTTCCTGTGGCTACTTTATAATGAGCATCAACTCGGGTTTCGATAGCAGCAGAAGAAAATGTTCTGTTTGCTTCAATGATGGCTTTTCTGGGAATGTCACCGCCAACACTAGTTGTTAATCCTTAAAATTTATAAGCTTTGCAATACTTTCATCATTAGCTTAGGCTAATCATTATCGTTGTATTACCTCAGCAGGCCATAGATGGTGAATCCTAGTCTCAAACTTCAGATTGTGGCCACTGCCGTGTTAGTTTGCAGAGGTCTGGATAGAGGATGGAGGCTACGGTGGAAGTCTGAGGACTGGGACTCAAGTCTGAGGTCCAGTCAAGTGGCCATGAGAGGAACTGCATTTGCACTCTTGCACTGGCTTCATTTCTCAGCCCTCGACGTTGCAGTTTAGATTTAACAGGTGTTTTGTTTTGTTTTTTCAAATAATGGCAGTTGTCACTTTATCAGCTAGTTGGTGATACTCTGCTGCATTTAGCAACCAAAACAAGAATAGAATAGAATAGAATAGAATAAAATAATCCTTTAATTGTCCCAAAAGGGGGAAATTTGGTTGTAACAGCAGCAAAAAAACCACATATACAAACAGAACAGGACACAGGACATAGAACAGAAACACACACATTTTTTTTTACATATTTACATCATGGACAATAGTTACCAAAACAGAGTGCTGTACAGTTATTAAAATTAAAGTACAGATAAGTGTTTAAATAGTCAAGAATATTTAGAATAATTGGAAAAGAACAGATTGTGTATTATAAAAAGTAGAAATGTAACTTCCAATAAGTTAGTATATATATATATATGTTGAAAACTGATTAAAAAGGAAGAATCAGGCCAGGTGTAACTTTGTGTTAAAAACACTAATAAAGGAAGGACATAGCTTTTACCTAACCATAGTCATCGGTAGTAAATCGTGTGTTTCTTTGGGACTATTTTCAGCCTTGGATTAATCCAGATTTGTTTCTCTGGTGAGTATTCATGGCAGCAGGAGGGTGTATATAGGGCTGACGGTAGAGAGCAAAGGCGTCACCCTGTAAAACAGTAAGGGTGAAGTGGTGTGGACAGCTTTTCGAGTGCAGATGGACTGCACTTGACAGTGAATATTACCTGAACTGTTTTGGTTGAATAATAAAGAAAGATTTCAAATAATACGACCTTACATGCCAACTTCAGGTTTTCAGGCTCAAAATATGTTTCAGGAAACAGAACTGAGGTTGGACGCTGTGCCCTGAATATTAGAGCCTCTCTGCATGCGTTAAGTGCACACGGCGGTTTGTTTGTGTGTCACCTGTCCGTGTCAGGAAGACAGGAAAGTGTGCCAGGTCCTGATTGGCCTCCAGCCACAGAATCAGCCTTGTTTCATCCGCTCTAATGACTCTTTAAGATGTGGCTTTTGGATCTGGGTCCACTTTGTCACACCTACTTCCTGTGTCTCTCTCTCTCTGTACTCTGAGACACACCTGGAGCCGTGCCTGATGGACTGGTGCTCAGCCATATGCCCCGCAGTGTGCCATGCTCGCAGACTCGGGCAGCCGGTTTGCTCAGCGTGGAGCTGCACGTCGATCTGTGGATTTACTGAAGCAGTGCAATATGGACACAAAGGCTTATCTCTGTCCAGAGTGTCTGAAACAACGCAGGATCCATGGATTAATGCATTTGTGGAGCGATCCTCGATATGTAGTAGGTACTGCGATGCGGAGGCAGTAACAGGCTGCTCACGCGTGGAGTGTAGAGGGCTTCACTCTGAAGTGGTGTTGAAACGAGACGCTGCTGCTGTCAGAGTACAGACAGAGTTTAATGGTGGTAATAACGTTAACGTCACTCCTGGAGATGAAAACAGGGTTTGATGTAAAACAGGCCTCGGTGCAGTTTACTGGTATCCCCGGTGTTTGTTTTGGTTTGCTTGGAGAGCCAGACGGGTGGAGTTTACAGCAACAGCACAAATAAGACGCAGGCAGCAGGAACTGAGACAACATGAAATGACTGATTGATTAACAGCAGTGTGTCAGACGTGACAATTTCATGGTTTCCTTTTTATTCACCATACATACAACAAATCGGACGATAAGGGTTATTTTTAGTATTTATTGCTGGGCAGAAGTTGTCGAGTTGGTCTGTGTTTGGATTGTGAGTCGAAAGAAGTGCTTCAGTTACTTCATGACTCTTTAGTTTAAAAAAATATATGTAAATCGAACACTCTGTTTCATTGCTGTCAAATTACTGCACATCATCACCTGAGAGATTGCCAGTTAACATCACAACTGTCAGTTTGTCATTTTATTTATTTTTCTCTGTATTTTTTGACAGCTCAGAGCTGCGAACTTTAACATTTCCATTTCTGAAAGCACAGAATGATGGGCTCAATCTTGCTGGTGCCTCATTATGACTTATTTTGGTCTACACTGTGTGATTTCTCCACAAATAAGATGAACCGTATGTAGACGCCCCACCAAGCGACTGACGTTTTTGGTCTCATGCTTTCAGATTAATCGTAATGTGGTAACAACCTTCATTTCTTGCAGATGAAAACAATGTCTGATGAGACAGAACAGAGAATGTGCGACGAGGATTTCGGTTCGGACGAGGAAGGCGAGGAGGGAGACGTGGAGTCTTACCTGGAGGACAACAGCAGCGAGCTCATGGACCGGCTGAGAGAGCTGGAGGTGAGGGAGCGAAAGACTCGCCGTCCTCTTTGGGATCATTGACAACTCAAACCACCTCCACCAGTGGCAGCGACACACGTTTGTCTGCTGTTTCCCGTTAGTTCTGTGGAGATTTCTTACATACAAAAGCAACTGCAGGCAATAAATTGTCATTGACGTTGGTATTATTTTAGACCACACAATCTGGGCCATAAGAGACAATTCAAGCGGTCGTTTTGGGTGCACAGCTCTGGCTACATAAACCCAGATGTTGAATGTTGACTTTGTGAAGGCTTCAAATTGAAATTTAAAATGTAAAAATAAATCTAAAGGTGGTGATATCAAAGGAAAGAAACTGCTCACAAAGACTGCAATGATTTATTGATATTGATTTAAGTTTATACTTCTTTGCTAATGTTCTAAAGGACAAAGTTACAGTTATTCACTTTCTTGCTGATAGATGAGCACATTGCACACTCCAGTATAACTCTACAGGTAGCAGCTGGTTAGCTTTGACTGGAATTGCGGAAGCTCTCCTTAAAGCTAACAAAATCTTTTTGTTGGGGATTAGCAGGCTGCTTGAAGGAAGCTTTCCTTGATACGTTTATCGATGTGACATATTTACATGTGTCCACGTGGGTGGATTTTAAAATAAATTGAGGGTGGGAAGGTAATATGTGGCAAAAGCACCTGTGTTAGTGCAGACAAACCAGTAGCTTTACCCAGACTTCCTGTTTTCTCTCAAATAAAAGAATCTATGTTTGACCAAAATGATTTAATTCTAATATTTCTAATATTTTGGTTTCTGGAACATTATTAGCAGAATGGACGCAGAGACACACGTTTAAAACTTGAAGATATATATTTGCTTTTCATTGGGACTTTAAGCCACAAAAACAGTGTGAAAACAGCCAATTGACATTTTACTGTGCCTAATCTTGCATACTGTTTCCTGACTGGAATCAGTAACTTCCTCAGGCCTCTTCTGTTTGAGTCTTGGTAATAAGCTCATTACACCAAATGTCAAATGGCTCCTAAAGGCTTTGCTTCTAACAGGTTTTTCTGGTTGGATGATAATGAAAACATCTAAATTGTGTTTTATGTTACAACATCTGTTTTTTTTGCATTGTAATGTTATATGTGGGAAATTACTGCGCTGGACTGCAGTGGTAGTTTTGGTGTCTGCTGGGTACTAAGCATATACTGGGACCTTTGAATGTTTTTTTTTCATGTTTACATGATTTATTCATCATTTGCTTCGCAGGCAGAGAATTCAGCTCTCGTGCTGGCCAATGAGAGTCAGAGAGAAGCTTACGAGAGATGCTTGGATGAGGTGAGTCCACGATGAAAGTTATAAAATCTGCAAAGTCAATCACGAAACGTAAACTCATGTAAATGCTTTCTCACGCTATCAGGTTGCCAACCATGTGGTCCAAGCTCTGCTGAATCAAAAGGTAACTTAAAGTTAAATATCTATATTTAGGTTTGATTTATCTTGGATTATAGACTCAGCGCCATCCATCGTGTCTCACTGCTCTGTGTCTGTGAACAGGATCTGAGGGAGGAGTGCATCAAGCTGAAGATGTTGGTGTTTGACCTGGAGAGACAGAACCGAGCGCTGTGTGAGCTTTTTCAGCAGAAACTACCCAACCACCCCACCGCTCACTACCAGGTAACAAACTCAGTTTCTTCTTTATTTAGACAAAAAAATATTAAAAATATAATTATTTCTGCTGCAGGCTGCACAAAGCTTAGCCGGCAGGCTGTGAGTGCACTGATGGTTCTGTTTCTGCTGGTGTGCATATTGCAAATTAAATGAGCTAGAGGCACGAGTCTGTGTGCAGAGCCATCTCTGCAGTCCACCAGTATGAAAGCATCAGATTCCCAGTGCAGAACTTGCAGAACACTAAGGAAAATCTTTTTTTCTTCAGCCACTCCTATACTCATAACCTGCTGTGTTTGGAGCTGCTGGTAAACATAAAATAGAGGACTGAGTCTTTGTGCTGGACCATCTCTAAAGTCGCCTTTACAGCCGCAGGATTTCTAGGCGGCAAAGATTGTTGCATCAGTTGGAAAGCAAAAGACATTTTTACCAAAAACTGTAGCAGAAACCCTCCATTGTGTTTCTATAATTCCTGTGTTACGTATTTGTTACGACACACAGTATTAAAATGCGTCACTGTTCCTAATTTTCTGTCATGTATACATTTCATATATACTGTTTATACATGAAAATTATGAGGTCATTGTATCTACAAGTAATTCCCTGTTTCGGACATTTTTTTTCTCCTCTTTTCTGTATGATGTCGGTGAGAAATACTATTCCTGATATGGTCATCTCGGGCACAGGGCTCTGGCTAAACATCCACCTATTGTTCAAACTTGTGTTTGAGAATGTTGGCTTAAACGGAGAGGAGATAAAATGGCTCGTTTCAGAGAGCAGGTGCACCAAAGGCTCGGTATGAGATAAATGAAGATTATCTTGAAGTGTAAGAGTCCAATAATAATAATATAGACCTGGAAAACATTAAAGGTCCACCTTAAAAGAAGATTGCAGTGAAGCAAATGTCCCTCGTGTAACCATAGAAAAGGTTATGGTTCTGTGTTCATGTCACTATTGATGGTGTGTGAAGTAAAATCACAAAGCAAACACCTGAATCTAGGACCCAAGTGGCTATCAGCTGGACTGGATTTTATCCAGTACGTTTTTATGAGTTTGCCAGTTGTGGAGATTTAATGTCTGCTTTCTTTTGAATATAATGGAACTAAATGGCACTTTGCTGATGGTTTAGCAAAGCACAAAAAATATATTTATTTATCCTAAGTCCCGAACTCTTCCACAGCATCCATTGTTAATTTCTCTTTGATATTTGGGCTGATTGGGACGGGATGAATGTAAAAACAAAGACTTACCAGATTTTTTTTAAACCTAATTTTTATTTCTAAGAAAGATGAGAGCCACATATGAGGATATTCATTTAAAATTTCGATAGAACAGTAGCAGTATAATGTCCTCGTAAGTGGATATCAGGCCCTTGTAGAGCAAAATTGAGTATTCTGGTCTAAATACCCCAAAATGTGATATCCACATATGTGGACGCCAGGTCCTAGGAGGTTAAAAAGCATGCATGCTTTTTGTTATGATGATCTGATTTATCAAAAAGACCTTGTTGTGAACACTTTTTTCTTTCTATAGTTTCCATTTGCCAACCAAAACAAGCACCCATGTAGCTAATATTACAGCTCAGCTGAGGGAAAAGCACTCGATATCTACATCCTGTTGCACTGTTGCTGGTGGATGAGCAGCAATGCGCTTCCTTCAGCGATAAAGTTGGCAGATGTTATTTTGATAGAAGGAAAATAGTTGCTTTAGAAAACTAGACACAGTGAGTTTTGTATTGTTTAGTTTAGTTTAGCTTTTTATACGCCCGGGTCATTATTTCTGGAAAGGCACTGCTGCGGAGTATATTTTTAGTGGTCTGAACACCACTCGCTGAGTGCTTTTTAGCTCCATTATCGTCAAGAAAAGGCACACGTCTTTGCCTTTGTTCCATATTTATCCCCCACTTGCCACCCTCTCAGTGCTTCTCACATTGCAAATCCATAATAAATAAAGTTAGAATTTTTAACTCGTCATTCTAACACGTCTTGTCTTTGCCTGCACTTCCTTCTTTCCTCAGCGTGGTTCTTAAATTATATCTTTACTTTGATTTCTTTTCTCTACCAGCCTTAACAGGCATGCACACTCAGTCAGTTTGCAGTTTGTCTGCAAACTGTCACAGCGCCGCTCATTTGAACTACTTTAACTGCTTAATAACGGAATTTAATAATTGATTATATTTTATTGGGGTTTTTTAATGCAAGGTATCCAATAATGTCTCAGTATATTTTAAGAACCTGTGTGTTAGTGCAGCGCTGAAGCTGCTGATTTTTCGTTATTTTTCCAACGCCAGTGGGCCTGTACGGAGCTCGCTCTTTTCACCTGTACTCTAAATAGTTTCTGCCGATGCCAGGACAATGTAGCTCTCAGTCGTCTGTGTATATAATAGCCTGTAGCGTATACAGTCTCATCATAATTGCCTCATGAATCTCCTGTTACAGGTTCAGGCGGGACCGCTCCCAGACTACAATGCACAGCTGCACAATGACTCGGCCAAACAGGTGGAGCCGGCACAGACTGAAGCACAAGCCAAGGTGACTGTTACAAACCATAAGAGCTTCTGAATCAGACAAAAATCTGCGTGTGATGTTTGAACCGCTCTGACATTTGCTTTGCTTTCAACTATTGTGCTTTAAAAAAAGACTCCACTTCTAATCTCCCTCGCCCTCTTTCCTGTACGCATGCACTCAAAGGTCCCGCTGAATTAAGCTGTTTGGCTCTCTCTGTGAACTGTATACTGATGGTAATCTGTGTCTGTCCACAGGGAAATGGCTACCGCACACAACATGCCTCGCCGGGCCCTCGTGGCCCCGCCGCCAACATGGAGGCCCTGTCTCCCTTCTTCAAGAAGAAAGCACACATCCTGGAGGTCCTGCGCAAGATGGAGGAGACGGACCCCCTCAAGTTCCACCCATCCACGACGAGCTTGTCTTTCTGCGACTACAGCCAGGTGCTCATGTCCACAGAGGCTGTTTTGGCTTCTGCGGACCCCCTCCCGCTGCAGTGCAAATCCCACCACACACACTGCCACTGCTCCTGCTCGGACACAGACACACACCAGCATGTGAATGGTGACGGAGCAGTGAAGTGTGAGGGAGGGAACACCTGCTGTTTACACTGCAAGAGGAGCCCAGAGAGCCCTCCAAAGCCATGCAACCATGTCTGTAGTCCTTCAAAAGCCACCCAGAGCCATATAGTTCCTGCAGCTGCTATGAGTGAATGTCACAGTAAGACCAGAGCGGGAGAGTCTAAACAGAGCACCAAGAATGAAGCCAACCAGCAACCAGCGGGCGCCGCCGCCCACTCATCCATCGCAGAAGCAGCCAGTCAGAATCTGGAAGGAGAGCAGGATAACTCGGAGCTAAACGCTAGTGCCTCTGAAGAGCTCACTGGTTTCTGTGCCACCTCCCACCTGCCTAGTTCTGCACAGGAGGCCCACTGTGACTTGGATACAAGCGATGGCGTTCCCAATGGTTTGGCGCTCTCATTTGGTGATGAACCCTCAGCCGTCCCTGAGAAAGACGGCACAGATCCGGAGGCTTCCTGTGTAAGAGCCAGCGCATCCGTCAGCCCCAGTCCCTCCTGTCTCAGCGACGTTAAAGCCGCTGCCATCAACTCCCCATCCAAACTGCTCAAGTTCTTAAAGATTCCCTCGATGGGGGAGAAGTCGCAGGCTCCCACCTCTTCTGTCCGCCTGAGCCCTCAGCTCACTCGCAACTCCAGGATCCCCTGCCGCACCAATAACTACGAGGTTTACCACTCGCCTGTTCCCACACGCAGAGCGACCACCACTGAGAGGTGCAGGCAGCCCCCTCCTCCACCCGCCCGGTCCGAGTCGTACCCCGCCACACACTCGGCACCAACTTCCCCTCCACAGCCCGAAGACACCTGCTCCCCACCCGCTAAGGAAATAAGCTATAGCAGCCTGTCTGCACCTAAACCCACTGTGGGCTCAAAGATCGGCGCTCCCTCCTCCTCACCCAAAGTTTCTCAGAGGGTCCCTCATTATGAAAATGTCTGTGACATGTCCATCGGCTCTAAAGAGGAGGAACCAACCCAGGGTCAGGAGAAAAGAACCACTCTTCCATCTCAAACTAAGGCAAACGCTGGTGAGAGGAAGCTTGTTAAATCGCTACCAGAAAGCGTCCTGAATCCCGCGCCTCAGCGAAAGCAGTCGTCCTCATCGACATCAGAGTCTACATCAGATGATGAAGAGGATTCAGACAGCCCTGTGTGGGTTAATCATCACAGCCTACCCAACTCCTCTGCCCTCAGCAAAGCTCAGAGCAAAACTAACTACTCACAAACCAGAGAGAAGCAGGATGGGCACACACGGGAGGTGAACATAGCGAGCTCTGAGGTCACTCAGGGTCCGCCTGCACCTCCAACCAGGAGGAGTGACTCCTCGTCCATTCCCAAGAGGCCTACGGTTGGGGCGGCGAGATCTCAGGCCGACTCGAGTCACCACGCTTTCAAAGACAGACTGGCTGCGCTCGGCAAGCTGAGGAGCTCGGAGGATTTACAAGGCGGCCTCAGGCCCACTGATGCGGTGAATGAAGGCACCTACGGAGAAGAAAGAGGCAAGACGGCAGAGATCCACAAGGAGGAACAGAGACATTCAAAGTTCACAGACTCTTCGGACGGTAAGCCTAAAGGTAGCAGTGGTGGTTTGAAGTATCCGGGGTCATCTCAGCTCTATGAGCAGCCAGTAAAATCTTCTGGTCCCGCACTGGTTAAACAAGAACTCTGTGTGACCAAGCCAGAGGGACCGAAGAGTAAAATGGGCCTGCCGTCACCCAACACAGATGCTCCCCAGGTACTACGCAACAACATCAAGTGTCCTGGCTCCCTGAATCTGGCCTACAACGTTAAAGCCAGCATCGCTCCTCACAGTAGCAACAGCCCCAACAAAATCCCTCCAAAGTCACCGTCCAAACCTTGCCAAGGCCCGTCCGTCCACAGAGGAGGCAAGTCCGCAGAGGCCCCGCGTTACTCGTCCAAGTCAGAGGAGAGGACCAAGATCAGCGGGAAAGGGAAAAAGAATCCAATGTACGGAGACAGCCTCCCGCCTCCTCCTCCGAGACCTCCGGCATCTGAGGTGGAGAAGCCGTCGCTGCCGGTCCCCACCCTGCAATCCGCCATCGAGCAGAAGGTGATGAAGGGCATCGAGGAGAACGTGCTGAAACTTCAGGAGCAGGACAGAGGAGGGCAGGGCGGAGAGGTCAAGCAGAAGGCCTCCAACGGCATCGCGAGCTGGTTCGGCCTGAAGAAGAGCAAACTCCCCGCGCTGAGCCGCAAGACCGACGGCACTAAAGCAAAGGAGGAGAAGAAGGAGTGGAAGATAAACATTCCCTCGGTCGGCAGGGACTCTGTGAAAATGGCCTCCAGGTGTAAAGAAGGCGTGGAAGGTCTGAACATCTCGACTCTGATGGAGAAGGCCGAGGGGCTGAGGAGAGCCCTGGAGGAGGAGCGGGCCTATGTGGAGAGATCAGGCAGGGGTCACTCGTGTGAGGTGGTGATGGATCAAGCTCAGGGACAGCTGGCGGTCATGTACAGGGGAGCGCGCTCTGACAACTTCATGCAACAGCTGCTAAACAGGTGAGGACTCAAGAAAGGACATCAGAGATGTAATATTTTAAGAAAGTACACTTCTTCTTTCTTCCTGGCAGAGATGTAAGCCGCTTTTAGTACATGCAAAATCAATTATAGATGTTGGTCTCAACTCAAGAATTATTTTCTGTAGAAGCCAAGTAGCATTTGAATACTAATCGCAAGCACCAGCCTGGAGCAGCTTTTTGCATATGTATATATATCCAGGGATTAAGATCACTGTAAACATCCTTTAAAAAAAGAAACTGCTGAAATACGACAACTTGCACTGAGTGCTGGGAGATTTTATTTAATGTTAGTCTTTCAAAAAAAAGTTAATCAGTAATAATCTGACCAGCTCCCCTTGTCCTTTTTATTTATTAACTTTCATTAATACCACATACCGTGAATAATGAATGAAAGGTAGCCCAGTCTTCTGCCTAATAAATGATGAAATTCACGGTGCAGACAGTGCAAGTGTCCTCCTGCATGCTGATGACGGTCATTAATTAAATAAGTTTTAAAATCCATAATTAATGCAGGAAGAAAACAGGAAACTTTCCACTGAGATATATCATGAATCTTTCCCAGCGTTTTCCAGCAGTGACAGCTCTTCCTCTCCTACACCAACTATCACATGAATGCTGCTTTTTATGTAAAACGTCTTCAATGTCTAAATAAAGGAATCAAAGACGTCTTCATTATTTTTTTTAATCAGCCTGTGTGTGGTTTAAAAACCAAACAAATCCAAGCTGTGTAAACCGTGTACAGCTAGAGCCCACTTCCTTGTATGTGTGCAAAGACTTGGCCAATAAAGCCGTTTCTGACTCTAAATGTAGAGTGGACGGAAAGGAGATGATCAGCGTGCCCCAGCGACGGCTGTCGTTCGACTGTAAGACGTCGAAGCCGGTGTTCACCCAGCAGAGCGACATCATCAGTCACACCACCAGTCACGACGACATGGAGAAGGTATTTCTTTACTTATTAATCTGCAGTTCAGAGACTAACGGAGTTTAAAAGAAACCTGAGGGAGGACATTAAAAACAGAGCTCTCTTTCATCGAGTCGAATCTGTTTACACTGAACCGACTTTCAAGTCTAAACCTGGCATCTAATTTGTTAGACTTGTCTCCTGCATTGAGATTTGAAGATTTCCGCACAGTCACGGCTCTTTCTGCATCTCTGTTGTTCTTTCATGCAGGGATCAGAAAGAATCGGCAAGATCACATCAGATGAAAACCTCGCAGATTCAGTTCACTCTCAACACTTTGCAGGTAAGATAAGTCTGCCGGGAGTCTAAAAAGGTTTGCAGCCTTTGTGGAGGATCAAAATAGACTTAGGTGGAAGTCACAGGGAAGTAAGGTTAATAAGAAATTCACAGAGAGGAAGGGAAGTAGGTAAATTAAATGCAAAAAAGAAAGTGATAACAATATAAACTATGTGTACGTTCAGATGAAAAATGAAACTATTTTGAGTATTTCTGCTACTTAATCTTTCATATATCTACCCTGATACATTTTAGAGAGAAAATATTGCACTTTTAATATAAAGTTGCTATTTACTTTGCTTGTGCGCAGTGGCCTAGCTTAGCTTCACACCAACAGGATGCAATATTAAAATGTTGCTTTTATGATAAGGAATATGGAAATAAACACTGCTACTGTGATCCTACGAGCCCTTCCTCAGATTGGAACATTTTACCAAACTTTGCTGAACACATTTCGATGTTATGCAATAATATTAGAGCTTATATAATATTAGATATTATACATTTTAAATATTATAAATATTGTCCCATCAGAGGTGAATGGGGATCCTCTACACCAGCTGAAGGATATTGAAGACTTACACAGTAGTCCAAAGACTTTCATAATAAAAGAATTTGAACTAGTACCTTTCAACGGTCAATTAATTTTGTTTATCTTTTCGTGTCATCCGGGCTTCACATTCACAGTAAATGGATTGTGTTTGTTGCTTTCTCCTTCTCTGAGGACAGGATAGGGCAGCTGATGATTGCATTGAAAACTTGAGTATTAAAAAAAAGACATATCATTTTACGATCAACTTCAATATCCCTGTGAAATAGGTATCTCTCTAAACCACAGTAGATAATGTATTAATCCCCAATCATTTAATATATGTACTTTTCACTGAGTACTTTTATTTTTTATAATTTAAGCATGTTTTTTGTAGATAATAATTACACACTTTTCCTTAAGGACTTTCAGTATTTTTGCGGTATTATTTGTGTAAATGATCACACATTCAGGCACTGAGAATCAGCGATGCTCCATGAGGGCGTGACTGAAACACTGAGGGGAAATAAGCTGCCTCACACCTTTGTTAGCATATCAAAGGTGAACAAACAGGGCACACCCCCTAGGGGAACTCATTCTGAGGCTGCAGTAAAAGATCAAATAAATGAGGACGCCACCAATTTACACATTTGCTTTGTGAAGTTTTTTCTTTTTTTTTCTTTTTTTCTTCTAAATTCTTAAATTATGCAAGCAGTTCATTAATTCACATTTGCTGAATCTCCCTCCCCCGTGTTTTTCCTCCGCAGGCTCTGGTGCTTCCACCTACACCCTGGACAGCGGCATCGGTACGTTCCCTCTGCCCGACTGCAGTAGCGGTGTAGCTGCACGGGGCCTGTCTAAGACGAAGGGCGGAGCCGAGCACCACTCCGGCGGTGGCTCCCCAGGGAGAGCCGGACGGCGAGCTCGCACCCTGGACAGAGAGCTGACATCACAGGAGGACTGCTACGCTCCACACAAGCAGCTGATTCCCACCATTCAGTACGGGTCCGTGTTGGAGGGAAGAGGCTCAGCCGGCGTCATCCGCGAAGGTGTCAGCACTCCGACCCCACTTAGACATAACAATAACAGATGGAAGAGGTCAGGTTGTTGGACAGTGTTACTTAAATGGGATCCGTTACGCCGATTCCCAGCCCTACGTTCATGTGTTTTAGGATGGTATGAGTGTAAATAAAAGCATAAAGAGGACACTAAGAAATATAGAATTATAAAGGAAACAGTATTAAAGAACTTTTATCCTCCAGAAACCACCAATATCCCTCTTAAATGTTTAGCTGGTTCATTTTGGGTCAAACCTTTTCTCTGCAAAGCCATTTAGCTCCAGTAGCATGGTTACAAAACACATTTATTCCCTTTTGTAGTAACCATTTTAGCCTAACACTTAAACAGTTTTAACCTTCCTCATGTTGGGAATTTCGACAAGTACTTGTGCTCTTAAATTCACTTCAGTAATAACCCACGGGAGAAAATCCTCGGCACAAGAAACACAAACTCATCTTTATTTGTTCCATCTGCAGACAAAGAGGCACATGGAGGGAACATGTTTTCGCCTCGCTCCAAGACTTGGACTTTCCCCAACCTGAAGACTCCAGCAGGACCTGCGGAGGTGTACCTGGCAGTGGAGGAGGAAGAGGAGGAGGCGGTATCCTTTGGATCACCATTCAGAGGGGTAGGCATACTGTGGTTTTACTGTTATTCAAATGCACCTTTTATCGTCTTCAAACGAAGTTGTGAGGACTCATTTGTGGCACAGAAAGAGCTGCTGATGTACTCAGGCATAATGGATGTATTTCATTAACTAATGGTGAGAAATAACTGAAGAATGCAAAGATTTCTGAGAGCTAAGGTCATGTGGAATCACCGCCTTTACTGTATGTTTAACAGCATCCACAGAAACCAACAAAAAGCCCTTCCTGAGTCAGAAAAACTCCTGACCGATGAGCTAATTTTTCTGTTTTGGTGCGCACATAACATCTGCACAAGACTCTGGTTCTGAGTCCACAGCAACATTTTTTTATTTATTTTTTGCAGTGGAAGCATCCATGACCTCATTTTCAGAGCACTTGTTGTTGCTAGGTTACAGAACTACGGTGGCCCTGAGGGGCATAGACGACAACAACAAAGGAGAAAACACAACGACGTTTCACTTTACGGGAAAGGTTAGGCACAGCACTTCTGCTGTTTGGCTGATCAATCAAGAGGTTATACTGTTGGTTGGTTTGCGACGCAGAAATCTCTTCTGCCATCAAATTAATCAACGCTTTTTTTCTCGCTTCTACCTGCAGTGCTTGAGAGCAGCTGTGCACGTGTCAGGAGTTTGAAATCGTTTCCTGTTTTTACTGTGGTGAAGAAATTTCAATCTTTTGTCAGTTTTATCAGTTCCGGTGTTTGGAACACCTCTGTAGGGTTAGAAGCAACATTCAATTCAAGCAACACATGAAGAAAATGCTTTTGTTCGTAGATCATAAATAACTGGCTTGTCAGTAACGACCACGGTCCTCTACCACGACTGACTATTGGGCCTGGAAGTGCTTTGGAAATTAATTTATTTCACTAATTTCAATTTATAATTATTGTAGCAAAAAAAATTTCACATTATCAGTAATAATGTGATATATCATTAGCAGTTTTTTGTTATTTTATTTCCTGTCAGTAAACATCATTATGAGCTTTATTTTATCCATATAACTTTATTACTTTACTATCATCCCGGACAAGGCCCCAGTCACAGGCCCTTTCTAAGGAAAAATGTCACAAAGAAGTGTTGCACAAAAACCTTGTGATTGCTTTGGTTGCTAGCAGATTGCTGCGGTTACCCATCCTCATGAAAGACATCGACTTGTCTGCAAACCGTATCTAACTAATCACTGCAACGCAAACAAGAAAGGGAGACTGTTCGCCTTCAAATTAAAAGCTGTACCTTACCGATTAAACCAAAGACGCCGCTTTTGCTTTGACTGAGTTTCTGGTTTGTGTCACACAGTCTCACAACCACTTAGTGAGAAATTAGAAGTGTTTGCAGACAAGTTGGCATCTTCTATACACACTACAATGACTGTGGGAATCTGCTAGCAACAAAAGCAATCATAATGAGGTTTTTGACACAATACATGACAGCCAGTAACCCCTTGTCAACCAGTGGGGGAATAGTAATTTTTTCCTAGAGACCAGAAGTTTCTCAGAGGTAACTGACCTGACAAGGTTACATTGATATACTGATATTTTTATATTGATATTATTAAGCATTATTATTGATAGTATGAGTTGATTCTGCTACCATAGTTGCTATTCTCCACAACTACTCACCACACACATTCCCCCCCTAATAACTGGTCTCTAAGCCTACATGACTGCACTAAACTGCAGTGACTCAATCAGACCATCCACAAACCTGAATAGGCTCCTGTGAGTTCTCAGTAGCACAGTTCCACAGAGGAGCTACTGTTTACCCAAATGTTTGGAACGCACACAAAAGGTGAGGAGCAACAAGAGGAGACAACAACTCAGCAAAGTAATGACTGTTTAACTGCGCCTGTATGACTAACAGTCTAATATACTGAGGGTTGTTTTTTGGGGGAGGGCGTTGTGGGAAACTGATTTCTGTTTGCGTTTTATAGAAATGCTGTTGCTGTTAAAATACCTGCTATAAACAGCAGTCTAACTGTAACCGTCCTGCCATTGGATTGTTTACTGTATTGTCAAGTGCATACTTGTAACATGACAACCTGAATATAGTGACAGCCTTAGTTGACGGTGTTTCAAGTCCCAGCCTGCCTTGATTTCGATCAGCAGGTGAAAGAGAAGTGACGTTAACAAGTGTAGCACCGTTCCGAAACTATTTCACTGACGGCGTAAACTGGGGAAAGATAAAAGCTGAGGACTCCATGTGTCACTGACGCTGAGCTTTTTATAGAAAATTGTGCAAAAAACACTTCCTGTGGACACAAGCTCTTATCCTCCGCTGATCAAGACAACTCAAAGAAGATACATTTTTCATCTGCAGTGAAACTCAAACTACCAATCCCAGCTTTGACTAAGAAACTGAAGAATAAGAATGCAGAGACTGGAGACTAGTCCTTAGGAAGAACAACCAGAGAAAGCTTTGAAGGTTATTATGCTTTCGTTAATGAGTGTTTAATGAGAATATTATTCTGTACTTAATGAAAAGTGCTTAGCAAGAGCATGAGAAAAAGACTTATCTGGGTCACTTACAGGCTGAAATCCTTTACAGGCACTAAAAGAAGGGATACATTTTTAAATCTGCACTTACATCTTACATAATGTAAAAAAACACAGAGCCACATTCTCCCTTTACAAATTATTCATCAGCTGAATATTAAAAATTTACAGTTGGATGAATCCTGTAACCCACTTTTTTGGTGTCACCTGAAGGCGTTACATAAGACGACAGCACATGACCTTAAATGTTTCCCACCCTTCTGTTTCCTTTCAGAGCACGAAGGCCAGCGGCCCCTCCTCCAGCCGGGTGGTTGATCCAGGCAGCCTGCCCGTCCCCGCCCAATCGGGCATGAGCCGCCGGGGAAAGACGCGCACACCCAGCGTCCCCGAGATGAGCCGGGAGGCCGGGCTGGAGCTGCTCAGGGAGCGGCCAGAGGAAGCCCTATCCCCAAGTCGCCCTCAGGTCCTGGAGACTCCAGAGTCTCTGAGCGATTCTCTGTACGACAGTCTGTCATCCTGCGGCAGCCAAGGATGAAGCAGCCAAGGACGGGAGGAGGAGAGGGAGGAGGAGGAGGACGCCGACGGGGAGGACGCGTCTCCTGGTCGATGGCTGCGCTGAGATGCTGCTGAGGAAAAGAAGACTGCTCCCCGTCGACATCCGCGAAGAAAAAACTGGTGACATCTCATCAGCTGTTGTAACTGGAAAGATGGATTGATCTCCTCAGGATTTCCAATAAACGTGAAGCCAAAAGCCACCCAAATCGTATAGGTTGTTCACTTTTTCACGATCAGACTCGACTGTGGACACTTCTCTTTAAATCATGTGTACAGGACAACAAAACGCATGGCCAAGCTAATGAGCAGCACAAAAAGTTGTCACTCCCAGTTGTCGTTCGGTGACCTCTCTTTCGTTTCTCTCATCGTAGATGGAGCTTCGTCCCGTACGTCAGAAAAAATTGGCGAGGGGTTCAACAGATGGCGTACTGTACTGTATCAATACATCCATTCTATTCTTGGCATCATTTCACCGCATAATGTATTAAAAAAAATAGAAAAAACCCCACAAAAAACATGGAGCGCCTTTTAAAAAAAAAAAGAATGTTCATGTCTGTGACTCTTAATTGCGAAACTCATGCATCACGATTTTAAATGTATAAACGATTTTATTGATCATGTTGATATTGTTTTGCGGCCAAGGAAGGTTGTCAGAGTATGTTTGTTTTGAAATCATAATACATTTAAAGGTAATATATACCAGCAATAATAACATAGATAAGAGAAATGGCTACACTATTCAATGAATATGTATTTCTATTATTTATTTATTTTAAATGTTCATCATTTGCAGTCGTCTTTTTTTGTAATCTTTCTGTGAAAACTGCAGTTTCCTCGCTTAGTAGGTTATCTTCATATTTTGTGTTGCATCATCTCTATTGCCGTTTGTTCCCTAGCAAAAATAGAGGTCCTATGTACCTACTGCCGTTTTTCAACTTTCTAATTAAAATGTTTTGATTTAGTTTTGTCTGAGTCTTTTTTTAGTAATTATATGAGGTTGTAGTGCTCACAGACTTGGATCTGCAGTGTTATTTGCACAGTTGTGAAAAAGAGGTTTTATAGAACTCGGTGGAGTCCTGTGAAAAACGAATTACCCCCTTACTGTTTCTATAGAGGGTAACCAGCCAGGTTCTGCTAATCAAATTCACTGATCATCAGTGAGTGTGAGCACTTCTATGAAAGCAGAAGTTCAAGCAGTTTTTCTCATCTGTAGCATTCAGGTTTGTGTTGACATGTTGCCACAATCGTGCCAGAAGTGGACGTCACAGCAAACGCTCTCCAAGTGCCATATTTAGACAAAACTGCAAAAAACTGAAGAGCTGCTTCTCAGACTCTACAGGCCACAATTAACGTGTTCATTTTAAAGTTTATGACAAGACAATTAGAAAAAGACTGAACAAGTGCGGCTTGTTTGCTGCCATGCCTAAAAAGAGCATGGCAGCACGCTTTAGCTTTGAAAAGCTGCATTTGAGTAAACCGCAATACTTTGGAGTGGAGATGTTTGGCAATGATGCACCGAGTCATACACAGCACAGTAGCACAAACGGCTCATACTAACTGTTGCACGGTGGTAGGAGGGTGATGATTTTGGCCTGTTTTGCAGACACAGGACAGCACCTCGCGGTCATCGAGTCAGCCGTGCTCTTCTCTGTCTGACAAATAAACCGTGGCCCAAATGCAGTCATACAACAGGACAAAGAACTGAAGCAACGACTTGTGATTGACAAATTGTTCACCTTTGAGTTAGTCACATCAACCTCTTATTCAGCGCATCCAGTTTCCAAACACAAAGACTGTAACGGCGAGAACATTCGTTTTAAGGCTTCAAAATCAGACCAATGAAGACGTATTTGACAGCAGGTCGGTGGGCTTTCTGGGCCTCAGATGGTCTTACTAGGAATTCCCACTCTCACTGACATCATACAGAGCCAAAAGTACAAAAAACTGTCTCAGCAGAGTGTTTGCAGCAACCTGAAGCCTGACCCTTTTGCTCACAGGGATTACATTCATGAAGTAACTGCAACACTGACCAAGAACTCAACAATGATACAAAAACAGTACATCTTGCTTGCAGCCATGTGACTGTCACAAGCATGTTTTGACTATGTTTATGTCTCACGGATAAAGCGACGGGTTTCTTCCATGAATCTTTTCTATTGTGTACATCCTCCCATGTTAGTGAGCCATACAGCTAACACTAAAATTCTTCCATGACATGACTCACAACAATGTTTGTAGATTTCTTTCAGTAAGTGGGTAATAATTTTGGACATTTTTGCTGACTTTCAAATGTATTTTTTAACACTGTGAACCCCAAAAAGAAAACACTATTGATTTAAATTATACTCAAGAAAAGGCAGACGTCTCAAAAACTGGGTAAGTCACACCAAAGCAATCTAGATGGATAAACAGCTAAACAGCACTACAAGGCAGAGGAAAAATATGTAAATTACATTCTTTAAATTAAACTGTCCCCTTAGGGTGAGCGATAATCTTACTGAGAATAAAGGGCCTAACATCTCTCTAACATCTTACAGGCTTGAGGACAAATGTTATAGTTCCCATCAAGGCAATAATTTATTTCTGAATATTTTATGCAAATAAAAAAATTAGAATTAGATTTTTTTATTTGAAAAATTACATATATTTGAATATTTGAAGCATTAATTATAAAAACATTTGAGCTTCAAAACTACTGAGCGTTTAAAAAGAGAGAATTGTTATTGTAATAAAACCTCTGGGGAGTTGACACTTTTTATTTAGCTGAAGAATTTGAGCAACATCAAGAAGAGGCCTTTAAAAACAAACAAAAAAACAACCTCTAAAATTCATAAACCATGTTAAATCAATTTTAAAATATCCAGACTGTGCAGGAAACTGTGAGGTTCAGTTTATGTGCACCTGTCAGTACATTTGTTCTGCTGTAAGCGAGCCCTCCATTATCATTATTCTCATATGCACATTTGCAAATGCATAACACGATAAAAAAAATTAATAATCAGTACCACATCATGCAAGATACAAAAGCTACAGTTTTATTATGAGTGACGAAAAGCTGTTTCTTGTGCTATTACTGAGAGATTCAGGGCACCAAAACCTTTCTGCTTCACAGATTGGCTGTAGTGCAGATGGCAGAGCAGGTCACCTACTGATTGGAAGGTTGGTGGTTTGATTCCAGTCTGTGTGCCAAACACCCTTGAACAAAAAACTAACCCCAAGTTCCCCTCTGGTGTGCCCACCAGAGTGTGGATGGTAGATAGAAAGAGGTAGGCTGTATAAAGTGTTTTTTCTGAGTAGCAAAGTCCTTTTGGGAGGGGGGGATTCAAAGCTTTGGAATAACAATTTTCAAAGCCAAATCTTACATTTTCTAAAAGCTAAACTGCTGTTTTCTATGCTTCAGTGCTTCCCCAGCATTCCCATAAACACACACACTCTGGTGGATGCATCAGGGCTAACTCGAGGTTCAGTATTTTGCCCAAGAATATTTTGACACAGGGATCTGAGTAGACGGCCTGCTCTACCTCCTGAGCCACAGATGCCCCCACATCTATAACACATCAGGTACAGATTACATAGATTAGAGTACAACCACAGAGGCCTGTAATAAAGACACAATCACTTTGTCTCAGTACGTTCAACACATTTATTTGAGCAAATGTATCAAATTATTAGTTTCAGTTTTACATCAACAAAATAAAATTTTCACAGTATACACTTTGAAAAGAAAAAAAAAAGGCAAAAAGAGGAAAAAAAGGAATTATACAGATGCCAAATTTTCAGGTTAACATCATCATCTGGCAAACTATTGTCTAGACAACAGATTTACAAGGGGAGCGGTCTGAATCATTCGCCCGTCAATCCAAGTTGAAGGAACAAAATGAAAGAGAAAAGGACAGATGGCAGCAATTCTTCCTCCTCAATGAGGCCAAAATCCAAAATCCAAACCAGCAAGTGGCTGAAAGTCCCTCTGAATGAGTTCAGTGTAGATCATAACAAGTCTGACAGGCTTCTGGGGTTTTAATCAGTGTTAGCACTCTTCACTCTTACCCAAAACCAAAAAACGTGGGAGCAAAACAAATCAGAGGAAAATTTCTGAAAAGGAGGAGCTGCTGTCAAAAACGATGGGACCATATGTGGCAACATTTCACTTAAGAAATCCAAGGAAAACTATAAATAATGAAATTACATAAAATATTACAATTATCAGTTTCAGAAGCTCACGTGACCCACTATAAAAAGGAGCCTATCATGTTAATTTATGGCACTAAAGAACAAGTAAATATGAAAAAATCCTCATTAGGTGCCGCTCAGCTTCTGGGAGCAATCATAGGGCAACGCTCCCCTCTACAGGCCAAGCGTTATCACTGCAGCGTTAAAGTATTCATTCACAGCCAGGATGGGACGAGCATACCATAAACTTACATTCAACCCTTGTAAGTTTAGAAAAAAAGTATATGATAAATCAAAGAATTTTCAACAATGTAAGACCACATAGGAGTTAAATTTCAAAATGAAGACAGAAAGTGAAAAGCACCAAGTGCGTTGCAAATTGTGCCTTTTCTGATTGTTTTTTTTCCTGCTACTCAAAGACTCTTTACTTCTTCTCCTTCTTCTTGTCCTGAAAACAAAAACACAAACAGGGACAGTTAGTTTGGTCAAGCTGCTGTTGTGAGTGCTGTAGTTATGTATTATGAAACAGAGTGTCTCACTTCAGCCTCAGGATATTGAGCCGCGCTGATCACACGGAATATGCAGAACATTTTCAGTTACCTGTCTCCGAGTATCGTCATCACTCAGATACAATCAGACGTCCCAGTTTTAAATTACAGTTACAGCTACAAGTATGGCATTTATTTCTTCATTACATGATTTTCTTCATGAGTGCATGCGAGTTTATTAGACAGGTGTCTGGAGTATAAAGCGAAATGAAAACTGTCCAAGGTGTAGTTAACTAAAATTAAAAGTACCAAGTACCTTCTGTCTGAAGTTAAAATTAAGAATACTAAAAAAAAATAAAAAAGCTTTAAAACAAACTTTTCCTGAAATTAAGACGTTAACACTACGAATGTTTAGAGCGAGGGACCACTGTTTGTGAAAA